CAAGACTCCACGGCTTAGAGGGAGCATTGGTCACAACCTTGGTATTCCTTGGAAGTCTCCCATCCAAATATTAGCCAGGGGCGACCCTGCTCAGCTTCCGAGATCTGATGAGATCGAGCTAGCTTGGGATATCCAGGTCAGGATACAACCCTGTTAGGCTGAGACATATGTGCGGAAATGCAGGCGAGAAACAATGCACTTGCTGGGGGTGAGGGGGCTCAGCCAGCATTATCAGGGTGCATTATGGGAGAGCAGAAGAGGCCGGGGGAGAAGGAAGAGAAGCAGGTGGGTGAGGGGGTCTGCGACTGAGGAAAGTGCCCCAGAACACTTTGTGGAGAGCGGCAAGGTGGTTGAGGTAATATGGGTGATTAGGTCTGCCAACCTTCAGATGGGGCCTGGAGATTTCCTGGAATCACATCTGATCTCCAAATGACAGAGATCAAGTTGCCCTAGAGAAAATGGCTGCTTTGAAGGGTGGGCTCTACGGCATTATACCCCACTGAGATCTCTCCCCTCCCCAAACCGTGTCCCTCCTCAGGCTCCACCCCCAAAGCTCCAGGTATTTTCCAACCTGGAGTTGGCGACCTTAGCTGGGTAGTGGTAGAATTTCCAGTGGAACACTCAAGTTCCCATGGGGTGAATAGCGGCAGATTGGGGAAGAGGAATGTTTGGGTACCATTAACAGGAATCCCGTGAGTGTTTGCCCCACCTTTGACCCCTGGTTTCAAAATTTAGAAAGTGAACTTTTGTCATCTCACAGAGTTAGGGCTTCGAACACACTCAGTGGGAACAAAAATCAGAATCCAGGCAGAGGTTTTGTGGAGAAGGTAACTGTGCACTCATTCACAGATCCCCCCCCTTCACTGTTTCCTTCTCTGTACCTTTGTGCACACACGCACACACAGACGCCCAAGCTGAATACAAAAACAGAAATCATGTAGTACCTTTTTATTATAGACCCAACCGAAATGACACAAAACAGTGCACGAGCCTTTACATTCTCCGGAATTCTTCATCGGGCTGGATTTTAGGAGCAGAGTCTTAAAGCCTCATTCAACTGACCTGGAAACCTCACATGTTCACTCACGTTGCTGATGGGTGAGCTCCATGGTTCTCCGGAAGAGCCCCCGTGAATGCCCCACAATGGTTAAAAAGAGGGTGTTATGTGGACATAAGCGTTGTGTCAACAAAGCATGGCCATAGCCTTTCCCTATCCTATTTAGTGTGCACCACTAATCGTGGCCAAACCCACCTTTTTATTTTTTGGTACACTGAGAACCCTTTAGGGTAGATAGGCAGATCTATTTATCACATTTTTTTTATTCTGCCTTTCAAAAGGAGTTCAGGGCCACATACCTGATTCCTGCTTCTCCACTTTATCCTCACAACAACCCTGTGAGCTAATTAGGCTGAGAGGGACTGGTCCAAGGCCCCCCCCCCCAAGCAAGCTTTGTGACCGAGCGGGGATCCGAATTTGGGTCTCCCAAATCCCAGTCGGACACTCTAACCTCTACACCACCCTGGCGAAAACAGACTGGAAACTATGACCTCTCTCTATGCCAATTTCCATATTTGTAATCCAAACTCCACCCCACAATGCGATGCTGGCTCTCGATGGTGGTAGCTGTCAGCAGGTGCGGATGCCAGTACTCTTCCTAAAGAGCTACAACTCTATTTATTTACATTATTTATAGTCTGCCTTTCTCACTTGGACGCAAGGCAGATTACACAGAATGAGTCAATACAGTTGACAGGTTGGGACGTTCAATGAACAATGTAGTAGGAATTAGTGTTATAGAACCAACCAGAAGCCAGAATGCAACAGAAAGCCTTCCGGTGTACCAACACCTTAAAGCAGTCACCCTGCACCCATGTATGTGGATGAAACACCCAGGAATTCCACCTTTCTGTAAAAAGGGTGTCTTCATGTTTTTTTGTATCCCTCAATTCCTGCAAGGGGCTAAGGGAGGGATAAGAAGACAAGTCCTCTTGTGGGTTGAAAACCGGTTAATTAACAGAAAACAATGAATATAAATGGGCAGTTTTCACAGTGGAAGGTGGTAAGCAGTGCGGTACCGCAGGGCTCAGTTCTAGGTCCGGTGCTTTTTAACTTGTTCATTAATGATTTGGAGTTGGGAGTAAGCAGTGACGTGGCTAAGTTTGCGGATGACAGGGCAGTGAGAACCAGGGAGGACTGTGAGGCGCTCCAGAGGGGTCTGTCGAGGCTAAGTGAGGGGGTGTCATTGTGGCAAAAGAGGTTCAGCGTGGCCAAGTGCAAAGTAATGCACACAGGAGCCAAAAATCCTAACTATAAATATACGTTGATGGGGTCCGAACAGGTGGTAACTGACCAGGAGAGAGATCTTGGGAGTCGTGGTAGATAACTCCCTGAAAATGTCGACTCAGTGTGCGACTGCAATAAAAAGGGCAACACCTATGCTGCGGATGATGAGGAAGAAGACTGAAAACAAATCAGCCAGTATCGTAACAGCCCCGTATAAATCTATGGTACAGCCTCATTTGGAATATTGTGTACAGTTCTGGTCACCGCACCTAAATATATATATATATATAATAGTATTGGGGAAAGTGCAGAAAATGGCAACTAAACTGATTAAGGGGATGGAACACCTTCAATATGAAGAAAGGTTAAGGAGGTTAGAGCTCTTTAGCTTGGAGAAACGACGATTGAGGGGTGACATGATAGAGGTCTACAAAATTATGCACGGGATAGAGAAGGCACAGAAAGAAATATTTTTCTTCCTTCCTCACAATCCAAGAAACTCATGGGCATTCAATGAAATTAATGAGCAGTAGGTTTAGAACAGATAAAAGGAAGGAAGCGCTTCTTCATCCAAAGAGTAATTACCACGTGGAATTTACTGCTGCAGGAAGTGGCAGTAGCCACAAGCATAGACAGCTTCAAGAGTGGACTGGAGAAACATATGGAGCAGAGGTCCATCTGTGGCTATTATCCACGAAGTATAGTGGGAACACCAGGGGTCATTTCATAGAAAAAGAAGTGCAGGAGCTCATTAACATAACTTATTGGCATAACTTATTTGCATATGCCACACCCCCTGACATCACTGGAAGTGTATCAGAAGGCAACACCCACTGCTCAGGCTCCACTGGGCTGTTTTGGATTGCTAGCTATTGGGGGGTAGGGGGAACGTGCAGATCTGTCCTCACAGAGGAGGGAGAGCTTGCACCTGAATAAAACTTGGTCTTAAAGGTGCCACTGGACTGTTTTGAACCGGGGGGGCGGGGAGAGCTCTGCAGATTACCTGGCTGCTTCTTGCTCTGACTGAGGGCTGCTGGGAACAGGGGGTGGGGCTTCTTGCATGCGCCTGCCCCCTGGGCTCTTTACTGCCGGAGCTCCGCTCCTGTGCGCTCCTGCAGGAAATGACCCCTGGGGAACACTGTCTGGGGCAGTGATGCTCTGTAGTCTTGGTGCTTGGGGGGCAACAGTGGGAGAGCTTTTGGAGTTCTGACCCTGCTGGTAGACCTCCTTGATGGCAGTGGCCATCTTTTATTCTATGGCTAGGGGAGCTCCCAGTTCAAGAATCAGGTGCAGAACTAGACTTCCTGTCCACACAAGCACAATGCTTGCTTTGGCTTCACTAAGCTAAGCCCATCTGAATGACAACCTAAGCAGATGCTTCTTGACCCGTTACTCGATTTGACCGCCATTAGTAACCATTCTCGGCAGCAGCAAAGAAAAATCAAACAGCACAGAGAAAAAATCCGGCTGGTAAAGTTCAGCAGTTCCTGCACAAAATCACTTCTAGCGCAGTCCACCCACTGATCACATTTTTATCCCACCATTCCTCAGAGGATCTCAGGGCGGGGTTTATATAAGCTCTCCTTTCCTCCATATTATCCTCACAACAACCCTGTTTGGTGGGTCAGGCTGAGAGAGACAATGATTGGCCTGAGGTCAGCCAGGGAGATTTATGGCTGAGTAAGGATTTGAACTCAGGTCTCTGGAGACCAAAGTTGTAACCACTAGACCACACTGGCTTATATATAAAAATCTATTTTCCTCTGTCGTTATCTTGGAGAAGGAAAGCTTGAAGGCACAAAGGTTTAATGCCCAGAAAGTCAACCTCAGGAGCTCCCTACCCATCCAGCAAAGGCCTGTCACCCTTAGGGGTAATCCCAGCCCCTTCCACAAATGTCCAGCTCCCTCTATTCCTTCGCTTGCTTATTGAAGAAATACACCTACTACTGCCTTCAAATGTTCTAGCCAATGAGTGCAAAGACGCATTTTATAAAATTAATTTTGATAGCATTCATAGCTTAAGACAAATACCTTCAAACATAATAGGATGCTTGTTTTTAGGTGCTCAATTTAAGACCCTCGGAAGAACCTTTACTGGAACACACCAATGGTCCATCTAATCCAGCATCCTGTGTCCCACAATGGCCAACCAGATGCCCTGGAAGAAAGGGCACAGAGGCCAAAATGCCCTCTGTTGCCCTCCCCCCAGCAACTGGCAATTTATCTGTTCTGCATTTACACAGCCATCCAGGTACCCTTGGAACCCTTCGCCCCAAGATTTCTGGTTGTGGGCCACCTGTAAAGATTTACTTACATCTTTCATGATAAATCCCTTTCTGAAACATGACTTCCGTGTCCTAGGGAGTTTCCCCAGTGGGGTAACCTCAAGTGTTGGCTTCCCCATTATCACAGTCTTTGAATGACCTTTACTTCCTGCAGAACGGGCTCCTCTTGGAACCCTGGTTAACAGATTAGCTAACGTGATCCACATAGAACGCAAAAGGAAACTAGATCCTCTTGCCAAGTATTTGTTCCTTACATTCATGGAACAGTCTTTCTCAGTAGGTTGTCCGGCCACACCCCACCTTGGAATAGTCTACATAGACTTGTAGAACCCATCTGTGCAATGGTTAACGTGCCGGGCTGGAGAAAAAGTTAATCAGCTCCAGAATCCTGCGGACGTTGTCTTAATGATTCTGAGTTCTGTCACGTCGGTTACTGTTGTCCTCTATTTCTGAACACAGTCATTTCTTTCTCCACTGTTCTTCGTGTTAAAAAAAAAATCACCCGTATTCTTTTCCTGATTGGTCGAAAACATGGCCGGGCTGGGCTACATCTGGTCCCAGGAGATGCCGACATGTTTCCTCGGAGGTCTGTCTGCAAGCAGCACCACCCTGAAGAGTAGACTAAGGGCTTCAGAAAAGGCTCAGGGTAATAAGGCAACGGGGCAAGAAGACCCAATTGCCTGAAGTCAATCCAGGCCTTGGTCTTTCGTTACCCCAGGGTGGCATTTGCCCAGGACGGAAATGTGTCCAGGTGGAACATGGCACGGCCCCAGCTGTTGATGGCCAGAGTTACACAAAGGACTCCAATAATGTTCATCACAATTCCAGTTTTTGCCTGGGGGGGGAGAGGGAGAAAACAAGGAAACAGCATGACAATCCTGTGAGTACCTTCAGGAGCCCAAGTCACTAAGCAAACCTTTGCAGGAAGGGAGAAACAGCAGCCTGTCAGAATGCAACAGGTGGGAAAAGGATTCAGACCGTGTGATGAGCAAACCCCCACCCCCTTTTTTGTGAGATACTCTGAAGGACAGGCTGAGCCAGGATTCAGACCGTGTGATGAGCAAACCCTTCCCCACCCCCTTTTTTGTGAGATACTTTGAAGGACAGGCTGAGTCTTTTAAGCTGTCATCTGCACGTGGCAAGCCCTCATTCATGGCCATTTAACCGGCTGGTGGAACCAAAGTCACACCTGATCGTCTTGCGTGAATCAACAAGCACGAAGTGTCTCCCCGGCAGTTAGCACACTTAACCGGCTTGTGCTTGACTACAGAACCTTGGGCAAAGAGAGGTGGTGGCTGAAGCACTGAACGCCAGTGTGCCCCTCCACCCCTTGGCTCCTTAGCCCCCTGGCTTCTGCCCCCCAACAACCTTGCCTCCCCCCCATCTGTTCTAGCCAAGGGCACACAGCCCCTCCTGTCTCTTGGCCCTATGCAAGTTTTACATTTACAAGTGCCTGATTAAGGATGGATCTACACAAGAAATCTGTATGCAGCCCCATAGCCAGGAATTTTGGATTGGTGGGGCACGGGGACGTTTTGTGGGGCAGCAAGGGGGGGCACCCACATGCCTTCCCTGAACTCCAAGCGGTGATTTTGAAGGCATGCAGCTGGCCCTCTCCCTCTCTTCCTGCAAGATTTAAAGGGCCCTCCAGCTGATCGGTGGGCCACGTGCTCCCGCCGACCAGCTGGAGGCCCCTTTTAATGTCACAAGACAGGGGAGAGGGATGGGGGAGAGGGACAGCAGCTGTTGTGGGGCGTGCTTCACATTTGACGGGGTGGAGCCCTGAAATGCCCCACTGTAGCTACAGGCCTGTCTGTATGTCAAAAGGGGAGCATTTCCCAGTGGGAGGAAGCAAGGCTAACTTGGAAGGGGGGGCTACAGGCGTGCCTGCCTTATCCACCAACGGTCCTTGTTATCAGTGTTCCTTCTCGGCTGTGTGCATGGGCTCATTAACACAGGAAGCCCCACTCAGCACCAATCTGGAGCCATGCAGGGTCTTGCACTGCCCATTGCCCATTTTAATATTACAGCAGTTATATTCTGCTCAGGATGTAAATTGCTCCGCTCAGTGTGTGTGTGGGGGAATCACAGGGAACATTGCTGTGAACCGCTCCACTCAGTTGAAGAAAAAAAAATTAGAGGGAACATTGCTTGCCATGATCATCCTCTCTTTGCAAGGAATCAGGGTGCTCAAAGGCAGTTCCCAAAACACTTGTTTGAAGCATCTTATGTTAACTTCTAACGCCAGTCTGGAGGAAAGATTTCCATTAGGGGAAGGGCTATGAATCATTGGCTGAGCATCTGCCTGGCATGCAGAAAGTCCCGGGCTCGACCCCCAGCATCTCCAGTTAAGGTTCAGGTAGTAGATGATGTGAAAGATCTTGACCCAAGACCCTGGAGAGCTGCTACCAGTCGGAGTAGACAATACTGACTTTGATGGACAGATGGTCTGATTCAGTATAAGGCAGGTTCACGTGTGACCTTTCAGCTCCTGCAGAACTACAGCCTCAGCACATGCCAAGAAGTCTCTCCTCTAGGATTCAGCTCCGATTCAAGAAACAAACCCTTCCCAAATCCCAAATTCAGGTTTGTTCCTTTTTTAAAATGCTTTGGAAACAGCTGTCTTGTGCAAGTCACTGGATCGCACCAGTACAGACTACCCCCCCCCCAAGTATCACTAACTTTGGGGTTTTTTTACAAGTATTGCTCACACTAAGTGAGTAAAAGGAGGGCACTGCCCTAGGTATGACCTTTTCAGCCAGTGGAAGGCAGTGTCCGGGTTAAGAGGAAGGACTTTGCAACAGCAAACCACCGGCTTACCATGTCTGAGACGCGGAGGTGGCCGTATGAAAAGACAATGGCGTTTGGAGGGGTGGCCACGGGAAGCATGAAGGCAAAGGAAGAACTGAGCGTGCAAGGGACCATGATGTAGAGGGGGTTGACTTCTATGGACTGGGACTGAAAGAGAGAGAAATAAATTAACACCTTGAACTGTCCTGTTAGATTACGTTTTTCACGCACTCTCCTCTCTGTCCAACCCGCCTCACAGGATTGCTGTGAGGATGAAATGCAGCAGGAGAGAGTCACAAGTGTCACTCCTTGGTGGAAAGATGAGGCTAAATGGCTGGAGGGGTGGGGTCATTCATGTTCTTTAGATTTATGGGTTTACCATTGCCCTAGTGCAGTGGTGGCGAACCTATGGCACGGGTGCCAGAGGTGGCACTCAGAGCCCTCTCTGTGGGGACGCGTGCCATCGCCCCAGCCAGGCCCAGACCATCATTAAAGTGTCGAATTCTCTGCCAAATAATTTTAAGTAAATGAAAGCATTTGGGATTGCTTTCCTTACTTTGTTTGGATCATCTTAAGTTAATGTATGAGTTGTTTTTTCTAAAGTAAAACCTCAGTATTCAGGTTAAATTTCCGTGTTGGCACTTTGCGATAAAAAAGTGGGGTTTGGGTCACAGTTTAGGCACTCGGTCTCTAAAAGGTTTGCCATCACTGCCCTAGTGGAAACTTAGGAAGATCTTCCAGGTCCCGCAAAGAAGCAATCTCAGCAGGCTCTACCTGCAGCAACTTCTGCAGCTGTTTTGCACTGACTCCTGGTTCTTTTTCTCAGAAACCCCCAGGAGGCAGATGGCCTCTCTTCTAAGATATTCCAAAGTAACTATATAATCCTTTTGTATAAGAGAGTGCTTGTTGCCCGGGGCCCCCAATGGATAAAAGGTAGTGCCAACCAGCACTCCCCCCTCCCCCATTTCCATTGTCAACACAGATTTTTCTTCCCTTCCATCATTACCAAAGTTGCAAAAACAGGCAGGAAGAGGGTCGCTGTGGCCACGTTGCTGGTGCATTCAGTGAAGACAGCAATGACAAGAGACAGAACGACAGAAATGGACCAGGGAGGGATTGTGTGGAGTGGGGTCATCTGGTTGCCCAGCCATTTGGACAGCCCTGAAGCCTGGAGAAAAAGAAACAGAGTCAGACACGGCACTGAAATACAGACCCTCTGAGGTCACCACTGCAATGTCAGCAACCAGTGAACGGACTGGTGATTTGGCCTTTCCTTCCATGATCAGAGGTAGTCCACCTTTATCTAGTACAGTGTTCTCCCACCTTTCCACTGAGGGTGGCATACATTGCTTGGTCTTCCTCCATTTTATCCTTGCCACAACCCAGACAACCACCCTGTACAATATTACTCATGCTGTTGGCACAAGGGACAAACTCAATTCTTCTCTTCAATTAAAAATAGCTAAGCATCGGCTTCTAGGGAAATGGTAAAATCTGTGTCAGCCCAGAAGGGGTACAAGGAGAACCCCTACTGTTTTAGTTTAGGTATGTAGAAAAAATGTTGGGGAAGACTGTGTTAAGGAGTACACAAAGGGATTATATGATCAATAAAGAGTTTAGTGTTTGGATATTGCTCTTGAGGGGGGCAGTCTGGAGAAGAACCAAGAGGTGGTTTTGTAAGATAGCTGCTGGAATGGTTATAAATAGTTATTGTTAGGGCCTGTGGGGCCTGATGAGTTTCTTCATAAAAGGCTGGGATCAATTCTTGGAGGGACCTGGAGGATCTTTTAAAATTTCCCTCACGCCACTTCAGTCTAGTATATTATCTTGCCTGTCTCCCAAGGAACTCATGGTGGCCTGCATTCTTCTCTCCCTTCCCCAAGTTATCCTCACAACAACCCTGTGAGGTAGATGAGGCCAAGACCGAATGAATGGCCCATGGCCAGCCAGCCAGCTTTATCCCAGTGGGGATGTGAGTCTCCCAGTTTTGACACTAACTACTGCTCCGTGCTGGCTTTCTAAGTACCATTTATGGGGGAGGAGAAACAAAGGGGGAGGGATAGGACCTCCTGCTGTACTCGCAGGTATCTGGGTGGACACAGGAAAATGAGCCGGATGGACCTTGGCCTGATCCCGCAGGACTCTACTTAATGGGTAATTTACAGGGGTTAGTTTCCTGCACGTGCTAGGCTTTCTCTAGTCCAATAACTCTCTCCCTTTTCACCCATTAACTACACACACAGACCTGCCTGTAGGTTTTAAAGGTTCCTTTTTAACTTTGTACGTCAGGCACCATCTTTGGCAACAACCACAAGTAAAAAGTGCTATATATCAGGGCTACCATACATCATTCTTTTTGTTGGGTGGGTGGGTGCAGCCTGAATGGAGGCAACTCCCCAGTGAGATAATGTTTATAAAAGAAAAAGCTACCACTCGAGAGAGCCAAGTCTGTCAAGCTCAAAGGGCACAATTCAGCAGCATGATGTTCTCGCCAAAGTCTCACACAGCTCCCATTCATTCCAGAGGTGCTTTCACCGGAGAGTCATTTGCTGGATTGCACCCTTCTCATTCGGGATCGGGAAGTTAACTTGCAGCTCCTCAGACAACTGCAAGACGCGCAACCCTGGCTCCCTTCTCTGCGTCAGCAAGCGTCCTCCCCTAGCTCTGGTCTGAAGCACACGGGGCTGTCTGTGTGCGGCCTGCTCAGCATCCCGCCGGTGCCAAGCGGCCTTCTGCAAGGCACGATGGGGCCACCCTGCACAGAATCCTCTTTGTCTGAGCTCGGTCTCTCTCTGCTCAAGCAAAGGGCCTTTTGAAAGCACAAGAGGAGTCTGTTTGTGGATACTAGGGGCTCTCCCGATTGAAGGGCTGTGCATTTTAAACCTGCAACTTAAAAGCCTCACTAGACCGGTCGCATCAAATAATCAATCCGAGGGCGCAGCCACAACGTCTCGTAGAAGAGCTTTCCTAACAAGCTCAAATGGAGTCAAGTTCTCCTTGTCCTGATGCCATCGGAATGCAAACTGCAGTTGCTGACGTATCAAGCACAAGCACCTTGCTTTGGTGCCAAGTGGCAGCACGGGGGGGGGCACTTCCCCCAAAGCCAGCAATGCCACACATGGGCAGCGCTGAATGAATCGCTCCTAGGTGCTGCCAAGGCCGGAAAAACTTAATGGACGTCTTGTCCTACAAGGACTTTGCTGGCCTCTCTCCATCGCCCACCCCCACTTCTTTCCCAAATATGGAACAGGCAGCGCCTCTCACGTTTCTGTTTAGTCTGGGCATGGGGAATTTGGTTTCATATCTGAAGAGCTCTCGTGCCCTTCCAGGTTTCCAGAGAAGGTGGGTGGGTGGGGTCCCATCCAATTTGAGGAGAACTGAAGCCAAGGTGCTTGGTTCTACAAGCAAATCTGGCCTCTCTCGAGCTTACAAAAAGTCACGATTTCTTAACAGTCATCCAAAATCAGGACAGAGTGTTGCATCACCAAGACGTACCTCGCTCCCGTGGGCCAGGGCGAAGCCACCCCCCAGCAGCAGCACGATGCTCCAGGGCATCTTCTTCTGGACCACCTTCCAGTCTAGCAACGGGGGTGGGAGAAATGGCTCCTTCAAAGCTGCAGAGAGAAGTCAGGGGGTTACAGGATGGGCCTGTGGCAAGATGACAGTAATCCTGTAGGATCCAAAAGCAGGTTCTATATTTTTAGAAGGAACACGTAGGGAAGGTTTGAAAGGGGAAGCACACAAAAGGGGTAGCAAGGAGATTGAGTGGACAGTCTTCCAGCCAAGATGGCCAACCGCAAAATGCAAAATCCCAAATCTGTGCTATAGCTTTTATTAAGATTGACCAAAATGACCAAAAACAGGTGTGCAAAACATTCAGATTCTCCCACAGGTGGCCGCCCCACCGTGAAATGAAAACTGGGATGGAGGCCAAGATATGGAATGAACAAAGGCATTATGATGGACTGACCCTATCCGGGTACCCATTCTAGTTTTTGGGCTACACAGATTTCACTGGGGTGAAATTCGGGCTACGACCTCAAATGATCCAAAACCCAGCCCTTTGAGAGCTGCTTCCCTCCTGACAGTCCTCAGTTTAACCACCGAGTGCTCCATCTGCTGAAAGCGGAAATGGCTGATTTCCTATGAAGACCAGCCCAGAATGCTGAGAGTGTGTTGTAACTGATTGCAAAAATCTCCATCCCATTACCTTCCTTTGCCTCTTCTAGATCACAGCTTCTTTGACTGCCGAAACCACATCTGGGCTTGGTGGAAGGAACGATAAACAGCAGCAGGGCGACAAAGAGAGCCACTGTGGCATCTGTCACGTACCTGGAATGGGTTGGGTTTTGGGTTTTTTTGATGAAATGAAAGAAAAGAGGAATTAGCAAACTGTGCTTCATTCGCCTGCCATGCTCCACAGCCAGAAGAGTGATGGACCGGTTCAAGTGGAAGAGCCAAGTGCACTGAGGTCATTGTGGTATGTCTTTTCTTTCAACGGACTGTTTCAGTTTTCCATAGCTCTGGGACAAGACAGGTCTCTGTGCAGCGGGGGAGTCTTGCTTCCATGCCCACTGCACGAGAGATGGAGATATGCCACATTTCCATTCTGCATCGTACATCTGTAATGCTATTGCTAATGCGTAAATAAATACACAGCAAAGGACCAGAAAAAATATGCCTAACGTACATGGCTTCTATGTGGAGAATTTGCTCTGGTTTGGCATCCAAACAAGCAGGTTGGGGGGTGGGGGGGGGGGAAAGCATCCACACGGCATCATCCTCTTTCTAGGTTTCCCCTGCTTTGTTCCAGTCTTTCCTAAACCTGGTTTGAGATGCTCTTTTTGGAAAGATTGCAGTCAAAACATGTTTATATGCAGTGTGGCCAGCCAGGCATGCATTCATTGAAGGTCTTCTCCCTAGCAGCACCATTTTCCTTGCTTCAGCCATCCGCAGCCACCATTCCCCCCCCCCCACATGACTGGAGGACATTTTCAGGCTTTTAAGAAACCTTAGTGATAATGCTACAGTGCTGTCGCCATGACAGATTTGTGATTTGGGGAGAATGGACAGCTGGACAATCCTCTGTGGCTCTTTGCAGCAGCAATGCAACCTCCCTGGAGAATCATCACCCTGTCAGGAAGCAGCTTGTATCTATGCTTAGATTCGGTTTTCCCTTTGAACTATTCAGATTTCTGTTTGGTTCTAGATTCCTACACTTCAAAACCTATTGCACTGTTGACTGGATGTCCCATCCTGTTGACTGTACTGACTTATACTATGTAATCCTCCTTGAGTCCCAGTGAGAATAACGGACTATAAGTAACATAAATAAATAAGTTGTCCCCGTGTCCTGTCCGCTCAGAGACAAAAAATTATACTTCAAGTTATGCCGTCTATAATATCTGGGCCTGCTTCCAAGAAACTCAGGATGACACCACCACCACCTTGCAAGATTCAAGTTGCCCGTGCTGAGTGGAGATCTGAACACAGATCTAACCCTCTTCTGACTCACTAACCACTACACCGTACCATCTAGCCATTCTAGCCGCTTGGGCTAGAGTCAGTCACTGCTGATACATGCTGTGCTTCTGGTTAGCTGCTCTTCCCCAGCTGTTCCATGGATGGCACCAGGCTTGAGGCAAGCAATTTGCCTGCATCAGTCACCACGAACACAAAGCCACAGAGGTTAGGTGACCCCGCCGTGCACTCCTAGAAGCAATCTGGGCAGGGCTCAGCAATGCCCCAACATGAACCTGGCGGTTGCCTGACTCAAGACAGGAGAAGCTGCTGCAAAATCCACTTACTCTTTGTCTTTGTTGAAGGCGACGGTGGCCCAACCTGGGATGAAGCCGGGATCTCTTGTAAACCAGAGGATGACCAGCAGGGTGAACAAGAGGAGCAGGTTGAATTCTGCAAAGGAGATGGGGCCCAGCTTGTCATACTCAGCCTTCAACACATTGAGGGCAGACTTCTCTTTGTCAGTCCTTTGGGTTCCACAGCCCCAGGTCTTCCTAAAGCTGGAAAAAGAAAGAACAAAATGAGTGGTCCGTGACTGGCTACTGTGGAAGTGACCAGCCAGAGGACTTGAGAACTAAACCAAGGGTATTCAGCAACAGAGGTTGGAACAGGTCTTTGGAGGACAAAGAATGAACTTGATAGGAGAGACAAGTGGGGACTCGCAAGAAACTTGCAGGAGCGGCTATCTCATTTCCCCCACCTCTGCTTCTTCCCCTCTCCCCCTACTTCTCTCACTGTCTTTCTCCTTCCTGCCACCCCTTTTCTTACTCTTTCTCTCCCATTCATGCCTTTCACTTCCTTTCTCCCCGCACCTCTTCACTCTTTCTGCCCGTCACTCTCCCGGCCTCCCACCTATTTCCTCCCCCCCACAGCAGCAGTGGCAGCAGCCGCTCTCCAAGAATCACAATGGATTGCCTAAATACAGAGATTGGTTCTTCTTAGGGTTGCCAGCTCCATGTTGGGAAATTCCTAAAGATTTGGAGGTGGAGCCTTGGGAGGATGTTTGAGCTTGGAAGTTTATTTATTTATTTATTGGATTTTTACCCCACCCTCCCAACCAAGGCCAGCTTAGGCTTACCTCAACAGGGTAGAATACCATAAACTCCACTCTTCAAAGCAGCCATTTTCTTGGGGGCAACTGATCTCTGTCATCTGGCGATCAGTTGTAATTCCAAGAGATCTCCAGCCCTCACCTGAAGAATGGCAACATTAGTTCCCCTGGAGGAAATGACTGCTTTGGAGGGTGGAGGGTGGCATTATATCTGTCTGAAGTCCCTCTGCTTCTGCTGGATCCTGGGGTTTGCCATAAAGTCCACCTTCCAAAGTGTCAATTTTCTCCAGGTGAACTGATCTCTGTTGCCTGGAGATCAGCCGTAATCCCAGGAGATCTCCAACCACCACCTGGAGGCTGGCAACCCTGGGCACAGGATCCATCTGGTCTTGTTGCCCTGAATAAGAGATAAAGCCAGAGGCATTCAATAACTGAAAGCAAGGCCAGGACAGCGCAGACAGGATGCCTGTCTAATGTATGGGAGGGCCTGAGCAACAGCCGGGATCAGTAGCCAGGATCCAGCAGAAGCAGAGCAGAATGAAAGGGCAAGGCAAGAAATCGTGGCAGCAGGGGCAAAGCTGCAGATGTGACTGCACAGCAGCAAGGACAAGAGACTGCTAAGGCAGTGGCCACATGGAATATGGGGCTAGGGGGATCTCAGGATCTCAGCTGGGGAGCAAAGCAAATGGAGGGTCCTTCAGCGGTGGGACCTGTCCCATTGCCATATTATACTGCCACCAGGAAAGATCCTCCAGATCCAGCATTACTAAGTCAAAGAAAATGTTAATTTTGAATATGGTATCTCTGGAGGCCAAATCACACAGACATATGAAGCTGCCTTATACTGAATCAGACCCTTGGTCCACCAAAGTCAGTATTGTCTACTCAAACTGGCAATGGGTCTCCAGGGTCTCCGGTAGATGTCTTCAACATCACCTCCTACCTTATCCTTCACACTGGAGATGGTAGGGATTGAACCTGGAACCTTCTGCATGCCAAGCAGATGCTCTGCCTCTGAGGCACAGCCCTTCCCCAAGTCTGTTTCAGATCAACAACCCCCCACTGCACGAGGACTTTATCATTTCCAAAATACGGCAAAGTATGCAGATTGATCAAAAGTGTCCCTACGTTCCAGGCCACTATCTGCCAGGCTTTGTGTCATCAGTGGTTGCTCAGTCCATTACCCTTTTTTCTCTTACAATAAATTTGCATCATGGAAACTCTGTTTACTAGAGGGACTCATAGACTTTGTGTGTCCAGAATTCCAGGAACAGGCTTGGTTTTGTTTGTGTTAGTAACAGTATTGGCAAAGCTGGAATTTACAAAATTCAAAGGCGGAATCTTACTTGAATCCCATGAAGGAGAACTGGAGCCAGAACCAAGCCAATACCAACATCAGGATCATGTTGGGGAAAGCAAACCCAAACCAAGAGGCAAAGTTCAAGATGTCGCCATTATCAGGGAACAATCTGGTAATAATAACAAAAAAGGTACATCCCGTGAGTTGGTCAGCCAGGTCATTTCAGGGTCTCATAGGGGAAAGGTCAGAGGAAAGGGAGCTTACTGGTTCATCTGGCCTTTCAGAACCAGATTTGGCCCTGTCCCAGTCAGAGTTGCTGTCCCGCCAATGCTCGCAGCGTAGCACACACAGAGCGTCATTCCCTTGTTGATCTTTTTCTTTGCTCGCTCATCTTCCTCTCTGGTGTGGTCAGAAAGGTACCCGTTGCCTACGACTGAGAAACACAACACTGCTGGGCCTCTTGCAAAATCATTGCATGCATGTAAAATAAGAGTGTGAGATCTGTATTCATCGGATTACAAGAGAGCCATTTACAGCTCAGTCCTATTGCAGGGGGCTTGGGATGGAACATCCCCGTGGCCACCTCATGCCATCATTTTAAAGCCTTTAAAATTGGTATGAGTGGCGCACCCCTCTCGTTTCCCTGTGACTTTTCATGTGCTGAAACAGCTGCAATGAGGGGAGGAGGTGTTGTCCGTTTGGCAATTGATAAGGCTTGGGGAGGGGAGAAGAATGCCACAGCCTGCCACACTACAGGTCAGATCAGGGTCGGGCTCTTGTGCCATTCTTAAATGACTTTAAAATGGCGGCAACATCCTTGTTGTTATGCTCATAGTGATCGTTTAGTAATGCTCATAATGATTACTGTATTATTATTACTATATGCTTTTTTTGACTGCAAGGATAAGAAGGATGATGGGTCACTGGAAAAGGATTCCTTCTACCTCCCTACAGACATATTTAAAGAGAGAGGGCAAGGAATGGAGGGAAAGAATTCACTCAATAGATCCAAAAGCTTTTCTAGGAATCTGTAATTGCTCACTTTGATCCCTTATTTAACTAGAAAACATAGCAAGTACCATCTTGCTACCCCAAAAAACCCATGCAAGGAGCCAAGAGGCTAAAGCCATACTCTAGCTATAAGGTCCTGGAGAAGGACCACTGGTGGTCTACAGCCACTTCCCTCCCACAAGACTAGAGTGATTTTTTGCCCAACTTCTGCATCAGTGAAGAAGGAGGAGGAGGAGGAGGAAGAGGAGGAGATTGGATTTATACCCTGCCCTTCACTCGGAGTCTCAGAGTGGTTTACAAACTCCTTTCCCTTCCCCTCCCCACAACAGACACTCTGTGAGGTAGATGGGCCTGAGAGAGCTCTGAGAGAACTGCTCTTTCAAGAACAGCTCTGACAGAACTATGGCTTGCCCAAGGTCATCCAGCAGTTGTGAGTGGAGGAGTGGGGAATCAAACCTGGTTCTCCCAGATTAGAGTCCATGCACTTAACCACTACACCAAACCAGCTCTTAAGGGGCCATGATGTAGGGCATCAGGCAGGCCCTTAGCCATCCCATAATAGGATCACCATTTGCCAACTTGGTTCCCATTGTTAGTCAACTGTCTTTATCTCTAGAAGACCATGACAGCAGTTTTCAGATCTGGTTATCAATAAAATGGTTGCAGGATTATTGCTTCATAAAGGTTGTCAAAATCCTATTAAATTATCCCAAAATGCCTTTCAGTGAGGGGAGGAGGGAAGTATTTTCATAAAAAGAATCTGCTCTTCCTTGAACTTTACTTTCTGCTCAGAAGCAAATCAAGTTTAATTTAACGGGGCTTACTCCTCCCAATAGATACAGAAGTTTACAGCCAAAATAACGGAACATCTCTAGACCATTTCCCCTCTAAGGGAGAACCAAAGGGTTTCAACTGGATTCAACTGCATTACAATAGTCAGACTGTATTGGTACCATTTTTCATCTTGCTGTTCTGCCTTGAGAGCCAGTTTGGTGTAGTGGTTAAGAGTGGCGGACTCTAATTTGAAGAACCGAGTTTGATTCCCCACTGCTCCACATGAAGCCAGCTGGGTTACCTTGGGTCAGTCAGAGAGCTGTTCTCTCAAGGGCAGTTCTCTCAGAACTCTCTCAACCCCACCTACCTCACAGGGTGTCTGTTGTGGGCAGAGGAAGGGAAGGTGATTGTAAGCCACTCTGATAGTCCACTTCCGCACTGTTACTTTTGTCACTTGTTTTTCCCTATTGCCTTGGGTCCCCCCCCCCCTTTTCCACATGTGTTTTGCTCCCTCTGGGACTACTCGAGAAAGCAAAACACATTGGGGGAATAAAACCCTGAAGCAGTAGGAACAAACGAGTAACAAAAATAACAGTGTGCAGGGCTTTTTTTGTAGAAAAAGCCCAGCAGGAACTTATTAGCATAATAGGCCACACCCAACAACAGAAACGCATTAGCATATCCAGCCACACCCATGAGAGCATAGCTCATTAGCATATTAGGCCGCACCCCCATGTTACCAGAAGTATAGTCATCCAGCCACACCCACCTTTTGCTTCTTATTCTGTTTACTTTGTTTGTTGTCAAAACCTAGGGCTTTTTTTTGTGGCAGGAACTCCTTTGCATGTTAGGCCACACCCCTAATGTAGCCAATCCGAATGAGTTTCTGCTATTGGGTGTGGCCTATTATGCTAATGAGTTCCTGCTGGGCGTGGTCAACTTGGGAGCCAGCCGGAACTCCGTTCCTGTGCGTTCCTGCCCAAAAATAGCCCTGACAGTGTGGATGAGAGACTTCAAGTGAAGGGTGGGGTATAAATCCAGTTCTTCTTCACTGCCTCTCCTTCTTCTAGCCTCAAGTTGACTGCAGTTTTCCCCATGAGCATCCATTTGTGTGAATCCTCAACAAACTTTGGAATTGTCTTTTTTTATGGTGTGTGGGGGGGGAGAACAAGCTAATCTGCCCTCAGGGGAGGGGGATTCATTTACCTTGCATGGGTGACACTGCCAGGGTGGTTTTATTTTCCGGTTCGCTGATTGTGTTGACGTGTCCAAAAGTGGACTCTGATGGCGTTACATCCTGCTCAGAGCTGCTCATCTGGTCTAGGACCGCCTGGACGATCGGAACCATCATGGCAGTGGTGGCTGTGTTGCTGATCCACATGGACAGGAAGGCCGTGACTCCCATGAAGCCCAGCATCAAGCTGCAAGGAGGACACACAGAGGCTATGAGAAAGCTGGGAGTGGTGGAAAGGGCCATCAAGCCGCAGCCAACAAATGGCAACCCTGAAGAGTTTTCAAGGCAAGGAATGGGCAGAGGTGGTTTGCCATTGCCTGCCTCTGCGTAGCAACCCTCAACTTCCTTGCTTGGTCTCCCATCCGGGTATTAACCGGGGCCGATCCTGCTTAGTTTCCTAGATCTGTCAAAATCAGGCTTGCCTGGGCCATCCAAAATATTCACTTGGGTCACTTATGCTAAATGAGATGTGTCTCACCAGGGGACCATGCCTGCTTTGCTTGTGTGTCTTTTAATCGTCTTATAGATCACAAATGCCTAATTTAACAGGCTAGGGGCTTTTGCGGACTTCAGTGCAAAGATGGTCTTTAGGTTTCCTTTCCGCGCTGGACTAGGGTGAGAAAAGGCTAGCTGGATGGGAGAGAGATGGCCAAGATGTGCGGGAGCTCAGGTGGAAAAGGACCCAGCTGCCAGTTCCTGGAAAACACATGGTGGCAGAGCTGATTGTTTGTTTATTTACATTGTTTATAGTTCGCCTTTCTCACAGGGGCTCAAGGTTGTAAAAAGTAAAGGTAAAGGTTTCCCTTGCTCGAAAGCCAGTTGAATCCGACTCTAGGGTTGTGGTGCTCATCTCCGTTTCAAAGCCGAAGAGCCAGCGCTGTCCGAAGACGGTCATGTGGCCGGCATGATTAAACACCAAGGCGCACGGAACGCTGTTCCCTTCCCACCGAAGTGGTACCTATTTATCGACTTGCAATTTCTTGCTTTCAAACTGCTAGGTTGGCAGGAGCTGGAACTAGAGGTGGGAGCTCACTCCATCATGTGGCACCCGGGTCTTGAACTGCTGAACTACTGACCTTCCACAGCCTGCAGTTCAGCGTCTTAACCACTTGAGCCACCGCAGGACAAGGGGAAAAGAATGTGATTCCTGAATGTGATTTCTGAACCCTGGGTCCCTTCCTGGGCTCGCATGTGGAGAGTTAGCTGATAAGGGCTGTGTATCACATTAAACTTCGCTCTCGGTGGCCTTGCAACTTCTAAATAGCATTCCATTCTTATTGCATTCTAATTCCTTCTACAGAGGCTTCTTATACACAAAAATGCAGATATAAAATATATGTTCTGCTATAAGTTTCTCTAATCAAAATATTCTAGGTTACATACCAAATCTGGATCTATTATAGTTAAACTTTTGAAGGCCACCATGACAGCTGTCACTATACATCAAGGAGAGAGTGTCAGAAATCACATTCAGGAATCACATTATTTTCCCCTTGTCCTACAATGTGGATCAGTACAATTGGCAAAATGGGACATCCAATAACAAGTACATTAGGATTTTAGAAGTATGAGCTAGAGCTACCAGGTTCCAGGTTGGGCCTATTCTCCGCTCCTGGTATTTCAACTGATCTCCAGACTAGAGGTCAGCTCCCCTGGAGAAAATGATAGCTTCAGAGGGCAGACTCTATGGTATAGCAGAAATTCAAGGTGAAATCCCTCCCCCCAAATTCCCCTCTCCACAGACACCACCCCCAAATGTCCTGGAATTTCCTAGGCCATAGTTGGTAACCTAGGGTTCCCAAATCCCCCCGGGGGGCAGATTTCCCCCCGCTTTTGAGGCCCGATTTCCGCCCCCGCAGAATCGGGCCCGGGGGGAAACCCACCCCCGCGTGTGCGCCACCCGGATGTGATGTACAGACGGCGGGCACGCTGGGGGCGGGGCCACAGCCATTTGAAGGGAAAACTCTATGTTTTCCCCTCAAATGGCTGTGGCCCCGCCCCCAGCATGCCCGCCGTCTGTACGTCACATCCCGGCGGCACACGCGTGCTTCGCGCGCCCCGCACCCTCCAGACGCCGGGCAGGAGCCGCCCGCCGCCAGGTAAGAATCATTTGGCAACCCTATGGTAACCTCACTCTGCCCCCTAATCTCCAGAGTTGGCGACCCTATCATGATCTGAGAGTTGCCACCAGGTCCTCAGGCCTAAGACTGGTTTATATCCTCTGAGGATTAATGCAATGTGAAGCACTAATAGAGGAAAGTATCTTTCTGAAGAAGAATGAAATTCACGTTGTGACCTTTTCCACAGAGATTATTAGCTCCAGGTTTGATACTGTTGGGAAGCAGGTTTTTCCTGGCTTTCTCGGATCTTTTCCGAACCTGCTTTGCTGTGAAGTTCTGGAAAAGATTACAGCAAAGTCTGGACTTGGAGGGCTGCCGTCTAGGCGGGAAAGTTCAAATTGTCCTGGTCCACTCACATAGCAGCCATTTTCCTTTCCTCACGATATATCCACCACAGATATTCCCCCTTGGAGGGGGGCTTTTTTGAAGGGGTTGCGTTTTTTTTAAAATGGTAACTGAGATGGATATATAAAATGGAGTCTCCTATGTTAATTACCAGTTTTTAAAAAATCCATGAAAAAGCCTTACCCTGGTGTGGGGGAACGGCCACCTCAGGGAATGAGCAAGGAAAATGGCGGCCATGTGGCACTGGTAGCCACAGCAACAACAGGACTTCCAAATGAAAGGGCTGCCGTGTACAACAGCCCTCTCTCCCACTCTGAGTGACCACAACCAGCCCCTTCACGTCTAGGACACAACAGATGGGTCTCTCTGGCCAGCAGGCTCGGGAATGAAACTAAACACAAGCCCATCGCTGACTGGTGGGATTGTGGCCTAACTGAAGGGGAGGAGAGTCTCTTACAGAGCAGGTTTCACACCAACAGTCAGCAACACCCTCAGTGCAATCCGTTTGTGAAGGTTCCAGTGTTCCACTGCCACAGCCATGATCAGGCCCCCGACAAAAAGCATGTTTGTGTCCTTCAGGTACTGCATACACACCTATGGAGGGAGGGAGGCCAGGTTAGCATCTGCAGGGCTTCGTGCTGCTTGCGGTTGCTCACTCCGGGTGGGGGAAAGAGCCGGGGTGTGTGGTTGAGGAGGGGAAGGAGGACCTCAGCAGGTTATAATGCCATAAACCCTACCCTCCAAAGCAGCCATTTTCCCCAGTGGAACTGACCCCTTTGGGCTGGAGATCAATTGTAATCCCGGGAGACCTCCAGGTCCCACCTGGAATTTGGCAAGCCTAGCTACTGCTAAGCCACTTGGAATTGTGAGGCCACATCCCCCCCCCCCCATTCCTCTCTCTGCCTCCCTTCTGAATTTAGGATTTCTCTCCCATCACTGACCCCATCAATAGTCCCTTCCTCCCCACCCACCCCAACCTCTCAGACAATTTCCTAGGCTTACTTCTTGATGCTGTATGTGTTGGCCTACACGGGACTGTTGTTTTCAGTGGATAAAAAGGGAAAAGATAAAAATGTGACAGGGGTTCTGGAGCCTGGTCCTGCTCCAGAGTATCTCCCACTGCCCTTGTCCCTTACCTTTTTGGATTCCAGGACGTTGAACAACGGAAACAAGACAGCAGGCAGCAGCGCTGTGACTGCCAAAGGGATTACCTCTGTGCACCAATAAATGGCCATGATAATGATTATGTAGCCACATCGGGCCTCCTGTCAAACAAAAAGAGAAAGAGGTATTTAGACAGTGTATTGTAGTAAGGTAAAGGTAAAGGTTCCCTTGCTCGAAAGCCAGTCGAATCCGACTCTAGGGTTGCGGTGCTCATCTCCGTTTCAAAGCCGAAGAGCCAGCGCTGTCCGAAGACGTTTCCGTGGTCATGTGGCCGGCATGACTAAATACCAAGGCGCACGGAATGCTGTTCCCTTCCCACCGAAGTGGTACCTATTTATCTACTTGCAATTTCTTGCTTTCGAACTGCTAGGTTGTATTGTATTGTATTGTAGTAGCTTGAAGCATTTAGACAGTGTAGTGTAGTAGCTTGAGTACTGGGCCACTATCTTGTAGATTCAGGTTCAAATTGTCATACTGACCTTTGGCCAGCCACACACTCTCAGCTTAACCCACCTCACAGGGTTGTTGTGAGAATAAAATGCGGAAGACAGAACAATGCACACCACGCTGAGCTCCTTGGATAAAAATAAAATGTACTAGATCTGACATACGTTTTTAAAAAGAAGCAAAAACATCAACTTGCAATTGTTCCTTAAATCAGTGAAGAAGATTCACAAATCCACTTAGCCAGGGCTGAAAACATGATCTTGTGTCCCTGGATGAACTTGATGGTAGTAAACGACTGCTCTACCTTTCTATTATATGTCTTGTGCTCAACAGTACCTATTTACCAGGGACAGTTTCCTAGTTCTCTGGAATGCATTGTGCTACCCTCCCTCCCATTCTCCACATGCACTGCTGCTGTCATCAACATGGGTCCAAAATCTGTTGCTGAATGGGCTGGCATTGAGGCTGTTTGGCAAATAAGTGCAAACAAATCCAGTGTCTAGGGTTCCAGAGATGTATAAACGGGGAAGTGTTACGGTCAGCTTACCAGCACGCTTTCTTCAGCAACCAGTACAGGATAAATTAATGCACAGCACACACATACCACAGGCAGAGGAAAGGGAGACCTTAGCAATACGCAGTTGGGGAGTGGATGAGGGCAAATAAGAGCGCATGGCCTGATCCTTGATATGAGGGTAGGGGTATTCAGTGCACAAGATTGTCTATCTTTGCACCTGTGACATGCTGCAAGGCACGTCACACCTCTGATTGGGTGTAATCAGAATGCGTATCTGGTCAACCACAATTAACACTCCCATAGCCCAGGCTGTTTGGAGGAAGGTTGCATAAACACACTGGAGACATTTCGATAGACTGGAATTTGTCCAGCCAATTTTCTTGCGGGGAGACACTACCAATTAACTGGTTGTAAATGGTGCACTGGGGTTCTTTGGTGTAAACGCTTCTTAATTGGCTGGTGCCCAAAATCATTATTTGTCAGGCCTTGCCGTGCCGAAACCAGTGGGTTCTCCTCGCCCTCTTCCATCATCACTTTCTCCAAGAACAAACAAGTCACTTTTACAAAAGCAATGGAATGTGGTGCTAACCCTGACCTGACAGATGGAAGGTGATATTTACAGGGAGATGTTTTTTGAATGCACATCGTCGGCAGGAAAAGATCACTTGCAAACCACTCAAAGAGTTTACTAGTCTCTAAAAATTTCCCGAGACGGAGAAACTGGACAGACTGATTCCCCTGGCGTCTAGAACAGGTGTTGTGTCCCCAATCTAGATGAAACTGCGGGCATGTTGGGTATTTTGAGAACAGATAGTTGTTGCCACAAGAAAAGGGCTGCCACGGAGATGGTTGTGGCTGCTGAAAGGCTCCACAGAATATTAGGAGGTTCCAGTCCAAGTATCCTCTTATTCTGGAAGCAGCTATTCCCTCCAGACACGATGCCCTCTCAGCTTGTCTGAAGCATCAGTGAGCTAAACTGGGATTCGCTTCGCTTTGGGAAAGGAATGTGTATTTCCCAGAGCCTACCATCCAAATGATATTCTATCCTAACTTCCCACCTACCCCACTGCACCAGGGTTCTCATTGGGATAGATAGACTTTGGCCTGGGTCTAAACCAGTGTTCCCTCTAAGCTGAGTCAGTGTGAGCTAGCTCACAGCTTTTTAGCCTCCAGCTCACACGTTTTTGACTTGGCTCAGGAAGGAAGGCTCCAGAACAAACTAATTTATGCAGTAGCCAAACCACTAGCTCACAACTTTAATGCTAGTAGCTCACAAAATAGAATTTTTGCTCACAAGATTCCACAGCTTAGAGGGAACATTGGCTAAACCCACCCAAGCCTGGACTGATAACTGAGGAAAGATGGGCAAGGTTAGGTTTGAGTCCAGTAGAACCTTAGAAACCAAGAAGAGTTTCATAGGAGAGTCAAAGCTCCTTTCGTCAGACAGAGAGCCAATTTGGTGTAGTGGTTAAGAGCAGCGGACTCTAATCTGGAGAAGAGAGAGAAGAAGAGATTGGATTTATACCCCACCCTTCATTACCCAGAGTTTCAGAGCGGCTTACAATCACCTTTCTCTTCCCCTCCACAACAGATACCCTGTGAGGTAGGTGGGGCTGAGCTCTTTCAAGAACGGCTTGTGAGGGAACAGCTCTGAAATAACTTGTGACTGACCCAAGGTCACACCAGCAGCTGCATGTGGAGGAGTAGGGAATCAAACCCAGTTCTCCCAGATTAGAGTCCGCACTCCTAACCACTACACCAAACTCGCTCTCCCTGGGTTTGAACTGGGTTTGATTCCCCACTCCTCCACAGGAAGCCTGCTGGGTGACCTTGGGCCAATCACAGTACTTTCAGAGCTCTCTCAGCCCTTAAAAACAAGTCTAGCTCACCACTAGCATAACGCTGAGAGTTAGAACTTTCGGCTGCCAGACAATCTTTGGATCTCCTGGCTATTCTACACACAATGCCATATGATAATTAATTAATTAAGTAGGACAGACAAGATTGTTTACTTTGTATGTAAATGAGAATGAAGTTTATTGGGGGGGAAGCAGACAACCTTAAGTGATATCTTAAGAGAAATCTTTAAGGAATAACAAGGACATGTAGGATTTGAGGTTTCAGACTGTCCATGCCAAGGTGTGTGTGTGGGGATTACCCTGGCAAAGTTTCTTATGTATAAATACAGCAGTCTGCTAAAACTTCGTTTCATACGAGGTGCCAGCCAATCGGGATACTGCAACACCTTTTTATACAGTTACCCAGACGGTGGAATTTAACCAAAGATCTGAATGCCTTTAATCCACACTCCTGTCTGAGTGATTAAAGACCCCTTTGTTATATCTTCCAACCAACTGACCAAAACTCCATCAAAATCTTAACTCTCTCTTTTCCAGCACTCAGCTGGGATTGATTGTGTCAGAGCACCACTTGCTTGGGTTCCCGTGTCACGGCAGGGGATACCTTTTGCCGCTGTGACTGTTGTAAAATAATTTGGGGAAGAAGAAAATGGGCAGCAGGAAACACACTGGTGATCACCATGGTGCCGCCGGGCACTGTGTTGGGGGTTGTTGTCTAGAACTTTACGCTGCAAGATCGTTTTGGTGAGGGACACCAGAGGACGTCAGCTAGACAGAGATTCATTGCTTTACTTCATTTCCCCCCCGCTTTTCTCCCCAACGGAAACACCCAAATCAGAATGCATTCTGTTTTCCTCTCTTCCATTTTATCCTCACAGCAATCCTGTAAAGTAGGCTATGCTGAAAGTGTGTAACTGGCTCAAGATCGTCCAGCAAAATTCCATGGCAAAATGAAGATTCAAACCTGGGTCTCCCAAATCCTAGCGTGGTACTCTAACCGCTATACCCCGCTGGCTGTCTATGACATCAGATATGACATCAGAGCTGGCGAAATGCCCAGGTCTTGCTTTCTTTTGGTTGTGTCAGAAACATATGATTGTGAACCCTTGGTACGAGGTGTACGATTGGATCTCCTGACGTCTTCCCTTAAAAGCAACTGAGCTTGATCAATGCTGCCGCCGTGTTGAACTGACCCCTCCTGTGGCATTTGCCTGATCAAAACATCCCCTTGAAGCTCCACTGGAGTGGGGGAGATATACATATAATCAGTGCTCTGTCCCCCACCAGTGCTACTTTCCTGACACTAGTTCAGATGTAGGGAATCTGCCTGCATTCACTGACCATTGTAATGTAAGGTCAGCCTTTACAGCGTGAACACAAAGACTGATGACACAATATTTAGGGCTTTGCTTAACTTTCCCTTTCAACACCCCATTAATGACGGGTTGGATTCTCTCTCCCTCCCCTCCGCCTGGACCCTCTTTTGAGATTAAACTCTGACTGTAATCCGGGGGGGGGGGGCACCCCAGAATGGATGTAGATGAGCTTTCTGAATGTGAAGTATTTAGATGCCAACGGCAAAGCAGAGTGGGAGAAGGGCAGGGGAGTTTTCTTGGGAAGCAGCCTCCAAAACAGAAGACGATGCAGCCCAGTGGGACAGGCCAAGGCCAAAACCTGGAGAGCTGACCCAGGAAGGCCCATCTAGTCCAGCAGAGGCCAACCACATGCCTCTTAGAAAGCCCCCAGCCAGCCCCCCATGGCTGCCCCCTCATCCTCCCGGTAGCCCAGGAGGTAGACTGCCTCTATATATGGAGGCTCGATTTAGTTACTACAGCCTTTGAGAGACCAGTCGGGAACAGCAGGCGGCAGCCTTCCCACTCCCTCCCTCTGTTAACAGGGTCGTGTTACTTCTTTATATAAAGGGATCTTAGAGAGAAGAGGAGATCTTCAACTGGGGGGGGGCATAGCAACCGCTGCTTCTTTTGCCAGGCCCTGACAGCAGAAGGGGGCGCGCGCGGGGGGGGGGCGTCCTCGTCTCTCCCCCCCCCGGACCAAGGCCGCCTCCCCCCCACGCTCCTTTCGTCAAGAAGTTTGTAGCTTGGCCCGGGCTGCTGGCGCCCCGACGGGCACAAGGACCGGCCGCTGCCTCCTGCTGCTTGGCGCTCCGTCTGCCCCTCGCCCCCTCGTTGCTCTGACCACTAGGCCGGCAAAGGAGGAATCCCGAGAGCGCCCGGGCAGTCCCGAGAGGGCGGCGGGCAGTGCCTTTCCCCGGGCGGGGCAGAGGGGCTTGCCGAGGCGGGCACCTACCGGCGTGGGCACGAGCAGCGGGAGCGGCATGAAGGCGAGGGGCGCGCCCACCAGGACGAAGAGGTTTTTGCAGCGGAGCAGCGGGCGCAGGACCAGCGACGCGGCGGGAGCCATGGCCGGAGCAGGAGGTGGCCTGGACGGGGCGAGGTAGGCAGGCTGGCTGGCCCGCCGGCCGGCGCGGGGAAGCTTTTAAAGAGGGCCGCCTTTGCGCCGGCCCCGGCCCCTCCCCGTCGAGCGGAGCGCCGGCCTCTCTACTCCTCCTCCTCCTCCTCCTGGCATCCCGCGGCAGGGGCGCCCCAGAGGGGCATCCCGGCAGCAGGGGGCATGCGCCGCTTGCCGGATCTCAGCCCTGCTGAGTGTGTCTCTGTGCGCGTGCAGAGTGCCCTTCCCACAGAGTGAGGGGTTTTTTTTGGCAGCTTGTGCCCACAATAGCATCAGCTCTCCATCTGAATATGTGCCTGGAGGATGTTACATTAAGGGAACATCCCCGTCTTCTTTGCACTGCCTGGGTAGGCCTTGGTACCACAGGGAACCTTGCCAGGCTGGGGGTCCAGCCAGCTACTGGTGTTTCGCCTGCCACTTTGTTTTGCTTCTCTGCAGGGGCTTTGGGGTTCAGGCACTGGCCTAGGCGTCCCTCTTTGACCCCCAATGGCACACTTTCTGCTGGGGCTGTCTGTCTGAATGTGTGACGCCGCACTTGGCAGGAGTCCATCGGAAGCCGGAATCACCTTTGAAGCCTCCAGCCAACAAACCGGGCAGGAACAAACACACACAGAGAGACCCAGTTTCGGTGGCCAAATAAATGTCCAAGCGCTTCAACAAGAATGGCACACGTGTGAGAAGTTACGACCGCACGGGCAGAAAAGCAGACCTGGGCCAAGGAGCGCTACAGGATAAAACATCATAAACAAGGTGTGATGAATGGAAGAAGCCAGGAATACAAAATATGTATTTTGGTGCCCAAAATCAAAGCCCAACAAAAGGGAAGGGGAGATACACAGCCTGGGCAGGGGAGGGCTAGTCCAGGCCATAAACCATGACACACCCTATTTAAGACATCTTAGAAATAAGATCATTTCCCCCTCTCCCATGATTCATGTGTTGGATGGGGACATGTGTACGCAGGAACCTGTGTGACCAGTTTGCACAGGAGCTAGAGAAATAATGCTTGCCACGAGCCATTTTTGCGCAAACCCTGAGACACACATGTTGCCCTCACATCTGTAAATAAGCAAATTCACTGGTGCCTGCAGGAGCTGACACACACAACGTGCGTTTTCTCTTCTAGATAAGTATGTGGTGCCTGCAGGAGCTGACACACACAACATGAACAACTTTTTCTCTTCTAGATAAGTACGTCATTGTGCAATCAATTAGGGAAGTCCCTGGTTCAAATTTCCCTCCGGCCACAAACTACTTTGGGTCAGGCAGTTTCTCTGAGTCCTCCACCACCAAGATATAGGGATAAGCAGGGGTCATTTCCTGCAGGAGCGCACAGGAGCGGAGCTCCGGCAATAAAGAGCCCAGGGGGCGGGCACATGCAACAAGCCCCACCCCCTGCTCCCAGCAGCCCTCAGTCAGAGCAAGAAGCAGCCAGGTAAGTTGCAGAGCCCCCTTCGCGCCCCCCAGCCAAAACAGTCCAGTGGAGCCTGAGCGGTGGGTGCTGCCTTCTGAAACACTTCCGGTGATGTCAGGGGGTGTGGCATATGCAAATGAGTTATGCTAATGAGCCCCTGCACCTTTTCCCTTACAAAATGACCCCTGGGGATAAGCGCCCTGACGGCAAGGCTGCTGTGAGGAGTACTGAGAAAATGCACACGAGGGGCTTTGTGTGTGTGAAGTGGTGTCAAGTCACAGCTGACCTGGGTTTTCAGTGTAAGAGATGAACAGAGGTGGTTTGCCATCGCCTGCCACTGCGTAGCAACTCTGGACTTCCTGGGTGGTCTCCCATCCACAGACTAACCAGGGCCAACCCTGTTTCACTTCTGAGTTCGGACCGGATCAGGCTAGCCTGGTCCATCCAAATCACGGCAAAAACACACACAGAAGTGGCCGCTGAGAAAATGAACGCAAGAGGCTTTGCGTATGTAAAGGGCTATCAAGTTGCAGCTCACTTGGATTTTTACTGTAAGAGACCAACAGAGGTGATTTGCCATCGTCTTCCTCTGCATAGCCCCCTTGTCTTCCTTGGTAGTCTGAGAACCAGGGCTATTTTTGGGCAGGAACGTGCAGGAATGGAGTTCCGGCTGGCTTCAGAGTTGCCCACACTCACTACAGCCAAAACCTCTGTGTGCCTGGCTACAGAGGAAAGGCTTGGAGATCGACCCCCCACCCGGCGACTCCAAGGCGAGCAGGCTAGGGGGGTTTAAACTGCCTTCCCTTCCCTTCAAGGGGGGGCTTGCCCAGGCAAGCCAAGGGAAGGCATGGGGTGTGGCCTAATATGCTAATGAGTTTCTGCTGTTGGGTGTGGCCTATTATGCTAATGAGTTCCTGCTGGGTTTTTTCTACTAAACGAGCCCTGCTGAGAACAACTGTAAAGAAAACATTTGTGAGAGTCTGACCCACAGATCAAGCAGTCAACAAGACTTGCAAAGAAAATGCTTTCTGTATATTATGGTCAACAAGCACTACAACACAATAAACAAATTCCTTCAAATCATAAGAAAACCCTAGTGTGAAAATACATCATCAGCGTTGTCTCTGATTAGGTCGGGATTGTCCACATTCTCCTTGGTAGTCTCCCATCCAACACTAACCAAGGCTGACCCTGCTCAGCTTCTGAGATCTGACAAAACTGGGCTAGCCTGGGCCATCCAGGTCAGGGCACTGAAAGAATTTGAACCGACAGGGCAAAAGCCTCTCATAGCTTATTCTAAACAGAGACACTACCTATAAGGAGGCTGTAAAAGGGACACCTCCCTTCCCAGCACAGCACAAAAAAGAGGCCTTCCGCCAGCCCCCTGGACTGCAGCCAGCATGAGAGATGATCTGCCCTGATAGGCAGGGAGGCTGCTCAGGCTGTGCCCAAACGTTTGAGGTGAGGCCGCCTGTTGTTGTAGCAGTGGCTTGCCCCCATGCCTGGCGCTGGTTGTCTCACCCTGGGAAACCGTGTTTCCTCGAGGGGAGTGGCCAGCCGTACGGGTGTCAAGTGGCTAAAAAACTGGCTTACCCACATTGCTGGGGGGGGGGGGAAGCCCGTGTGACCACTGGGCACCCTTAATCTTCTCCCTCGCTCTCTGCTGGAGGGTTCCCTTGATTTCCCCTGCTAAGGGGGATGTGTGGCTGGTGTGTGTGCATGGTGCAGGTTTCATCCGCTTCTGACCTTAGGGCCCAGGAGAGCAGGAAACCTTTTTGGCAGGGCTGAAGAGACTGGTGTCAGGAGTGGCTGACTCTATTTTTTTTTATTTACCATTCATACCCTACTTTTCTCCTTCAGGTGGGACCTCCAGGTAGGACCTTGAGTTCTCCCAGAATTATAACTGATCTCCGGATGACAGAGATCAGTTCCCCCTGGAGGAAATGCCTGCTTTGGAGGGTGGGGTGGAGTCTAGGGCATTATACCCCAGTCAGGTCCCTCCTCTCCCCAAACCCCGCCCTCCCCAGGCTCCACCCTCCAAATCTCCAGGTATTTCCCACCCTGGCGTTGGCAGCCCTAACAGGGACCCAAAGTGGCTTGCATCCTTCTCTTCTCCCCCCTTTCATCCTCACAACGACCCTGTGAAGTAGGTTAGGCTGAGATAGGGTTGCCAGCTCTGGGGTGGGAAATACATGGAGATTTGGGGGATTAGAGCCTGAGGAAGGCAAGATTTGGGCACAGGAGGGACTTCAGTGGGGTATAACACCATAGGATCCAACTTCCAAAGCGGTTATTTCCTCCAGGTGAACAGATCTCTGTCACCTGGAGATCAGTTGTAATAGCGGGAGATCTCCAGCCATTCCCCGGAGGTTGGCAACTCTAGGCTGAGAGTGTGAGAGCTGGCCCATAGGGTTGCCAGCTCCAGGTTGGGAAATACCTGGAGATTTTGGGGGTGGAGCGTGGGGAGGGTCATATTTGGGGAAGGGAGGGGCTTCAATGGGGTATGATGGCATAGAGTCTGCTTTCCAAAGCTGCCATTTTCTCCAGGTGTAATAGTGGGAGATCTGCAGCCATGACCTGGAGGTTGGCAACCCTACTGGCCTAAGATCACTGGCAAATGTCCGTGGCATGAGTGGGGATTTGAACCCAGGTCTCCGACATCCTGTGCTGGTGCTGGACGAACATGAAATTGAGCAAACTTCAGAGGACGGCGGAAGACGGGAGGGCCTGGAATGATCTTGTCCATGGGGTTGTGAAGAGTCGGACTCGACTGCGCGACTGAACAACAACTCCCACATCCTAGTCCGACACTTGAACCACTACACCCACTGACTCGGCTTCCCACTGACGCGAGTTCTGTTGCCTTCCCATAACTAAGCCACAGATCATTTTCCTTTCACTTACACACCTCCAACTGGTGACATCCCCCCCCCCATTGCCCTTATGGTGTGGAAAGAAATCAACCAGGCCTGGGCAGTTTGCAGACCTTGAACCTGCCCCCCCCCCCAGCTCCAGCTCGGAAGAGGTTTCTTGAGGGCCAAACTAGCCTTAGCCCGAAAGGAAGCCGAGACGGGCAGGGAGGGACTTTTCAGCAACCCAAGGAGAAAATGGCAGGGTGTGGTATTGCCTGTGCATACTGTCTCTTCAGTGTGTTCTCCGTGTTTCTTTGGGAAAGGAGCGATTGTGTTGGCTTGCTGAACTGCGACAACGCGCTTGGTGATACTGGACCACCTGCAGAGAACAGCAGGAAGTTCTTGGAGTGCTCCCAGACCAGGGCCTGGAGAAGGCAAGGAAGTCTTGGTGTGGTCTGGGCTGGTTCGGCCAGCCACGTGCCTCAGTTTCTCCAGCTCAGAAGGGGAGGAAAACTGAAACCACTTTGCGCACAACCTGCATTTCAGCCACGGGTGTGTCTAGTTCCAGTAACTACACCTCAGACCTAGGGTCAGCTGTTCCTGGAAAGTGTGAATTA